GTAACACCCAAAGTTTCGAAGACCAAGAAAGGAAAGAAAACCCTAAGTTTAGGGGTCGACTCGGCGAGTCTAAGGGGGACTCGGCGAGTCCGAGCGGGATCCGGGTCGGGGAGTAAGTGACCGACTCGGCGAGTCGACCAGGGGGACTCGGCGAGTCTGGTCTGTGCGTGGAAAACCCTAAATTCGGGACTTGGGGCCTATATAAATGTCTTAATCTTCTTCCCAGGGTTCCTTACTGCCTCTTTAGCCCTGGATATCAAACCCTAGCCGTCATATCTCCTAGTTGAGCCTTGGAAGGTGCTTTAAAGCTTGGAAAAGGAAGAAGGAACTTGGAGGAGCAAGAAGGAGCTATAGATCTGGGATTGTGAGTTCATTTTGAGCACTTGGAGGTAATAAACTAGTTCCTGGACCCTTTTTGCACCTAGATCTATGTGTGGTTGTTGGGGCTCTTTTGCCATAATGTTATTATTTTGGGTTAGAAGCCGGATCTGGAGTTGCTACTTCAGATTCAAGTGTTTTAGGGCCTGGAGAAGCATAAAGTATCAGTCATTGTGTTGATTTTGAAGTCCCTTGGCCTTACACCCTAGTTAATGGCGTATCTTGCCTAGATCTCCTTCTCTACACGTAAAGTTTGCAACTTTACGTAAGGAATAGACCTTAAAAGAGTGGATCTACAGTTTGGAGTCCATGCATGACTCAAAGGTCCTCTGCATGTATGTAGAACCGACTGGACTCGGCGAGTCCTTCGAGTGGACTCGGCGAGTAGCTTGAAGATGAGGAGGAACTCGACGAGTAGGATGAACAACTCGTCGAGTCGGATGAAGTTAGGCATGGACTCGACGAGTTGGATGAGCAACTCGGCGAGTTGGTTGAAGATTGTCTAGGACTCGGCGAGTCATGGACTGACTCGGCGAGTCGGGTCACGAATAAGAAAGACCCTGAGTTTATGAACTCGGCGAGTCTTTAGGAAGACTCGGCGAGTAGGGTTGACCTGGAAGGTTGACTTTGACCAGAGTTGACTTAGTTGACTGTCAGACTAAGTGTTATATGTATATTGATAGCTCGGAGAGCTGGAGGAGCAGTGGATCAGGGGATTGTCGAGTAGCAGCCAGAGATTTATCAGTAGGGTTCAGCAGTCTCAGGTGAGTTTCCTTCCAGTAGGGACGGGTCTAAGGCCACAATGCCGAGCCGTCCAGTTAGTAGTAGTTTCCGATGCAGTAGTTAGCATGTTTGATGCCTTCGTGGCTCAGACAGGATTTATGTGCTATGTTTTATGTGTTATGTGTTATGTGTTCCGGGCTACGGCCCGATGTAGTATGCAGTATATGTGTTCATGCTAGTTGATATGTTATGTTATGCTATGTTCAGCCAGTTAGCCCGGACTTCGGTCCGATGCAGGGGACAAGGTCCCAGTCAGTCTCCGGACTTCTGTCTGATGCAGGGGGCAAGGCCCCAGTTAGCCCGGACTTCGGTCCGATGCAGGGGACAAGGTCCCAGACAGTCTCCGGACTTCGGTCCGATTCAAGGGGCAAGGCCCTAGTTAGTCCGGACTTCGGTCCGATGCAGGGGACAAGGTCCCAGTCAGTTTCCGGACTTCGGTCCGATGTAGGGGGCAAGGCCCCAGTTAGTTCGGACATTGGTCCGATGCAGTGGGCAAGGCCCAGTATGTGCTTTATATGTTTTTGCATGGTATGTGTTAGATTGGGGGAGCTCACTAAGCTTCGTGCTTACGGTTTACAATTTTGATTTCAGGTACCCAGTTTTCAAAAGAGGAGCTCGGGGAGATTGCAGTGCACACACCGTAGTCAGTTAGCCTGGGAATGTTCGACTCTGATAATGATATTATGCTTTGAATTAATACTCGAGAATTTATGTTATGACTTATGATACAGTTTTTATAAATATGATTCTAGTAATGCTTTTAAAGAAATTTTTGGTCGTGATTTTTGGGTCGTTACACATAAATATCTATGTCTGAATCTATATCTGAATCTTCTATAGGTTCATATCCTAGATCATATGCAAATTTTAATAAATTTGTTTCTTTTTCCCTTTTTGTCTTTTTTAGACATTCATAAGCTTTATGTCCGTCCTCTTGACATATCCAACATTTACAATCCTTTTTATTTGATGGGCAATAATTTGTTTTAGATTGATTTTTTTGTTTATATTGCTTTCTATTTCGAAAATATTTTCTTTCTCCTTGTTTATAATATTGTTTATATTTAGGTTTATAAGTTTGTTTTTTCCAAGTTTTCTTTTTATATTGTTGTTTTTTATTATCTTTACAACCATATTGATTAACTTTATTAGAAAGGGTGTCAAAACATAAATCAATTTTTGCATCTTGTGTTGTTTTTTGTTCTAGATATTTTTTCTGCATTCATGCTTTTAATATACTTATTCGTGCTCCTAAAGTATTTGCAATTTTATTTTGTTGTAATGCTTCTTGGAAATCTTTTATTACACTTTGGCTTACTAATGATGATAATTTTTGGTAAAACATGTCTAATGCTATCTTTTTCTAGTGAAATCTATATTATAATAATGTTCAGAATATTCACATATAAATGGGTCTAAATAACACATGCTACAAATTCGTAAGTTTGTTAAATGCCATAATGATTCTAATTGAAAAGCTTCCTGAGATGTTTTATCTTCTATTTGTTTTCCTATAAATTCTTGAATAAGCCGATTTAATACATTTTTAAATGTTTCCATAGCATCAGTAGTAGCTATCATCATTGTTTTAGTTTCGTCAAGAGATGAGAGAAAACAATATGCATTACCTTGTGTTTTATGAATGATATAATTAAGAAAATGTGTTGGGTGTAAATTTCTTAATTCTTCAGTTAACTGAATTTTTTTGTACTCCCATTTTATTACTCCATTCTTGAATTTTTGGTTTGGAATTTTGATCACAATCAATAAAAAGAATATCTGAATTTGTTAGGGAAGTAAATAATTTGGGTATGTATTGTGGGGGTATTTTTTCCCATTTGTTTTGTTTATTTTTAACCATTCCTTGTCTATATAAAAAAAAATCTTCTGATGAAGGTGGTCCATAAATATATTGACTTTGATAATCATCTTCAACATATGATTGTTTTCGTTTTAATCCAAAATTGTTTTGTGAATTTCTATATGGATTTGAATAAGGATTTTCGTCATCTGAAGAAATATCATATCTTACTTCTACGTCATTATTATCTGAATTATTTTCTGTTTTTGTATTATTTTCTTGAATTTCGGATGAAATTTCTAAAGCTGCAAATAATTTAGTTAATGTTTCTACTTTTTCTTGCAAAGTTTCCATATTAATAAGTTGTGCGAATTTTTAGAAATGAAATATTTAGTTTCTTTTTACTAACGAATTAGTTATTATTAGTGATTTTTCTATTTCGTGCGACATGTTTAACAGATTAGTTGTGTTATTTTATCTTCAAAAAATTTTATTTGTTTTTGTTTTCAATTTATACTATTATTTACCATATGTATTGCTTCAATGTTAGATATATAATTGATTATCGATATATCAGAATCTAGCTTTAAGTTTAATAAAAAACAAATTTGATTGTTTTAATGTTTCACGAAAAAATTTAATTCTTGTTTATTAATATTTAAACTTGAAAAACTCATGATTAGAACAAAATGATAGTTTAGTTTTTCTTTTAAAGTTACAATTAAAAGTTATAAATTTTAATTAGAGGGTTATGGTGGGGTTTAGTTATTACTCTTATATTTATAATGATGGTGATGAAACCAAACTTTTCATACGGAGAATTAAAAAGTTTTTGACAAATGTTTCTGACTTGTTGGTACATAATAGTAATTGTTTCTTTTAAGACCTTTTAATGAAATAGCTTAAATTGTAGGTAGATTGGTTTTAATATTGAATTTATGATGATACATGAATATTAATGAAGACTTGTGACGATAAATATTCATAGTAATATTTACGATAATACATGATGAACAAATGTTTATAAATGATATCAAAATTTTTATACGAAAAGTTAAAAACTTTTTGAAATATGAAATGTGAATTTAACTTCTTGGTACATAGTCATAATTGTTTTAAAACCTTCTTACGACAATTGTTTCAATTGTTGGTGGATTGAGTAATAATGATGACTTTTGCATACGAGTTTTTATTAACATATATTTAAAAGATGAATATTCATTATCATGTTTATGATGCTGCATATGCATATATTTATATGAACGAAAGATTGAATATGCAAAATAATAATAAGAACGTTACTTGACTCTGATACCAAAATTAAAGACATGACGGAATTGATAAAGATTAAGAGAAGATTATACCTGAATGACGCGTTGAATTATATAGATGATGGATTATGTTGAATAATTGGATGATTATGTAGATAGTTTGGATAGGGCTCTGCTATTCAGAAATAGACAAACTATTTCAACAGAGGAAGAACTTTGAGATTCAACTAAGTCTTAAACACTCAAATAACTCTTGTTTATTTCTTATGGACAAAGGCCCTATATATAGGTTCGAAAGAGCCGGTTACAAATACTGTTGCAATCGTATGATCGCAATGCGACAAAAATATATTTACATTTTAGACCCCTAGACTATGGAGGGTCTTACACTTTATGTTACATCCTACCGACACTACATTATTTCATATACAGACAATAATTATACAACGACAAATAACAAATAATTACAATCCCTTCCACACTGAAAAGACAAGTGTCTTCAATAATGGCTTTTTACGTCATTGCTACGTCATTCTGGTGGAGATGAGAGAGAGAGAGAGAGAGAGAGAGAGAGAGAGAGAGAGAATTTGCATATTATTTTCTTTTTTAAAAAAATAAGACAAAACATCATAAATGGTCCCCAGGATAGTGAAATGACGAAAATGCTCTTTAGTTAACAGACAAAACTTAACGTAGTTAGCAATAAGGACCAATCGTTAAAAGTTTTGAAAACATAGGGATCATCTATGACGTTTTTAAACCACGGGGACTAAACTTCAGATGTTGGAAAACCACAGGGATCATTTATGATTTTTTTTTTCAGAAAAATGCCATCATATCAATGATACTGTTGAACCAAAAATAAAAGATCACAGTGGTTGCATCAATTTTTTCTTTCAAAATCGGATGGCTTTAATGGAAGAAAAAAAATATATACATGTTTAAAGTGTAAAAATATCAACATATGGTGTGGTTAATGTATTTTGTCGTATTAAATTTTATATTCATGTGTTACTTACTAATCGCACAAAACAATTCAATGAATTTAACATAAATTTTCCATTATCAGACGTGATTTAATGGGTCTGTTTCAAGGAAATAATGAGACACCGAAGATATTTGTGCGAAAAGTGGGACAAAACAAAGATATTTTTGTAGGAAACTTTTTATATCCAATGAATGTTGATAAAACCGAGCACCCATTCAAATCTTTGAAACCATTGACCATTCTTGTTTCTGTTGTTGACCATGGAGTCCTCAACCATTCTGCCACTATCCCACTTCTCCTTTCTCTCTCAAAAACCCCATGGAACAAGCATTGGGAGTTTTCCTTTGAATCAATGGAGCCCAACATCTCAAAAGACTCGATTAAATTGTCAGAAGATGTACGTTCCAGGTAGGTCCTCTCTCTAATGCTTCCTTCAACTGTTGCACAGCTTTGTGGGACTATTTTCAATAGCAAAGGATGAAGATGGTAGAATTGAAAATAGTTCCATCTTTTTGGATGGACAAAATTTTATGTTATGACATTACTAAATCAGTGAGTTATGTAAAATGATTGACTGTTGGTTTTGAGTTTTGATAGGATTTGGAGAAGCATCACCAGAAGCCAAAGCAGCAAAGAACCTCCACAATCTTTTTACATATGTTGCCGTGAGGGTTGTCAATGCGCAGCTTGAGGTGTTTGTTACTCCTTTAAAAACTTCATGCATGTTTGTTTGACTTTTATATGGTCAAACAAGTAATCTTTAGGAAGCAAATTTTGTTATTGATTTGTTTGGTTTTAGAGCTAACTATGAAAGCTTATCAAATTACATACCAGTTGATTCTTTCCAAAGTTATGTATGTGTTTTCCAAAGTAAATAAAAAGTTTGGTTTAGTTTGACTGAGATTGACATATAGTTTGACAGAACAGAGCTACAACACCGAAGCCCATAAAGAGTTAATGGAATTTATGGAAAGACACTCTTTAAACGATGGCGATAAGTTCTGTGCAGCTTTAATGCGTGAATCATCAAGACATAAAACCCTAGGTATGCTATTCATTCCATATCTTCCCTATTTTTCACAACATAGAAGAGAAAGGAAAAAAAAAAAAAAACATTATTTCATTGTTCCTAAGATTAACTAGATAACTAACATTATGGAAAAGGTTAATAACATCCCCAAAGTGACCACTATATTATATCGGAACCATGGGAGTATTTATTGTTCCAACTCTCCTATTTTTTGTACAGCTAGCTATGTTGCTCTATTTACTGTAACACGTGTAGTCAAAAGAGTAGCATATTTGACTTCCAAAAATCAAGCCATGCTATTTCAAGTGTTGCCGTTTCTCTTATAATGGGGGAAAAATTAAAAATAAAAATAGATGATGCCAAATTTGTAAAAAGTAATGGGAAAAAGCCTCATTTCTCTAGCATACATTAAGTCAATTGAAAACACTCTTATTAGTCTTATATAACTCTCCAGATTAAATTATGTCCCCATCCCATTGTATTAGAGATCTAACTATTTCCATTGATTCTCTTGGATTCACATTACGCCAACTCCCATGGTAGCCATGAGAATATTGGAGGTACGTATAGTTCCTGTCCTTTGTTAAGTTAATGTCATAAAATAAAATGTTAAAAATGTTTATTAATATAACAAAAAATATATATATATTTCTTATTTAGGTTCGATCCGCATACTGCAAGAGAGATTTTGAGTGGGACAATTTAGAACGATTGGCTAAAAAGGTAAAATTTTGTTATATGTTGTGGGTTTTTTAATAGTTACTTGTTATTATCTATCTTATGCTTCACTAATTTTGGTGTTGTTAATATTATATAGATGGCAGATGAATCTAACACAAGACTTATGAGGGATTACGTGTTGGAAACAAGTCATGTAGAAACTGAAAAATGAAGTTGCCCAATTTCATGGATAATAATATCATGTTTAGTTATATTTCTTCCATGTAATGCAAAACCATTTCACACTTTATTAACATATTAAATAAGAATTAAATTTACACAAGTTGAGTTGTTTACTTACTAAAATACATGCATCATGAGACAAACATGTCCTTCCTTCATCAACTTATCGAGTCTTCATTCTTCTCCATTGACTGAAAAAGAAAAGTTTAATGCCTTGAGCGTGTAAAAAAATAGCAATGTAATTTCATATATTTGTTTATTATAGCATCCTATTTTCATCTTGCAAATTGTAATTTCACCAAAATACAGAATTTTTTTTTTTTCAAAGCACAATGTCTTGATATGATTTTTTTTTTTTTTTTCTTAAGGAATGAAAATACTATGCTAAAACTGGGTAGATTCTTAAAAGTACAATGCCTTAACAAGAAAAAAGAACGAAAGTACATTGCTATTTCTTGCATATAGCCGATTCATAATTACCTCGATATAATGAAGCACATCATGGGAAACCTGGATATGGCCTGTGCTGAAATACGCCTGAGCGTAATCTTCAATATGTTCCAAACTGCAAATATGTTTTCACAATCGATTTATGTTGCTCCATTTGTTTTTAGATAGATATTTGTTTTAATTATATTACCTGTAGATGTAATTTACCATAATTCCTCCACTTTGAGTAAGGCCCTTTTCGGATCGATCAGCCATCCAATTCAGTCTTCCAATCATCTGTAAATGAATAATATTATCAATATTCAATACTTTATGATTTATGATTTATGATTTATGCTTTATGCTTTATGCTTTACAATATCAAAGAAAAAGAAAGTGAAATAACAAGTAAGATGGTTGGTTTGACATACAGCTCCATTTTGCAAGTGGAAATTGGCAACTGAATCTAGAGCTTTCCCTCTCTTCTTCTCATGTAAAAGGTACCTGTTGCATGAAACCAAGGACAATAAAGTAATTTATCAGGGTCAAAAAGTCTAAAGTGAGAGTAGGAATGGAATTACAAAGGAATAGTATTTTTCTAGTTAATTTTAGAAACTAAAACTGTAATCTAATTAAAATTTTGAATTTATATAAAAAAGATTACATGAACAAAACCGGGTTAGGTTTTGCAATTACACATTCCATTCCACAATGGAACAAAAAAAATAAAGTAGTGTTTTGTATGATGGAATCACAGAAGGAATTGAATTGTTCATTTCATGCGAATGAAAAAAAAGAAGTTGTTTGTTTTGTAGAACGTGCTGGTTTGATTAAATTATAAATTTTAATAAAGTAATTTTCCATCAGAAAAATAAAAGGTGAAGATAAAAATAAAAATAAAAGATACCTGGCACAGAGTCTTAGTAGAATTGGTTGTAATCCATCAGATTGAGTCCACTCATGGTTAGTTGAGGTCAACAGGTGCAACAATACTTCCATGCCATTTCTCCCTTCAGTGGAATCCCTAAAAAAAATATCTCAAAATGTCAATCAATCATCATATTTGTAACTAGAGATCAAAGCCTGGTTCGGTCAAAGCATGGTCAAAGTTGTGAAAATAAAAATTCAGCTTACGCATATGCATCCAAGAGTACTCTTTCCTCATGAGGTTGGAGGATGTTCTCACTGAAAATGGGAACAGATCTCTCAGATGATGCCAACTTAGACATTAGCCACTGCATGAACCCTGGGATAGGGCTTAGGGTTGCAAAATTCTTGAGAGAGAAAAAAAAACATATGAATGGAGTCAGAAAAAGAGGTAAGAATCTCATGAATAATTGATAGTTAGGATCCTTAGTTTTGCAATGAAGGCTAAAAATCAAGTTAGAAAGGCTTACAGATATATTTGGCATGTCTTTCTTCACCAGATGAATCACTCGTTTTATCAAAAACTTCCCTAAGTTGATTCCTGCTAAGCCAGGCTGTCAATATCAAAAAGTTATTCGTATTTTTCACACCAATCATTCTACTTGAACGAAACCTTTATATCTATATCTATATTATAGTTATACAGTGGAAAAACAAAAATGTGAAATAACAATTGAGTGCACCTGAGTTGATGAAATAGAGTAAAATAATGCAGTACTTGCTTCGGCTTCAGGTGTAGGAGGATCATGCCACAGGACTTCCTGTAATGCCAGCAATTTCTGGTTATTTATCACCAAAAAAAAAAAAAAAAAAAAAAAGTTAAATTAAATGGTCACATGATGAAGGATATGTTGAGTTACTTGTATGGTAGAAGCTATATTCTTCATAAGTGCAACTTCAATAAATATAAGCGGTTCACCTGAGGAAACATGTTTTATTTTAACTCACTGACCATAATAGAAAAAGGATCACTCATTAACTTGTTCACCAGGTTTGCTGATGTGGCATGTATTTGACACGTCATCTGGAGATGATGTGTCAGATGCATGCCACATAGACGTCATGTCAACAAAACTTACCCATTGAATCGGTCAACAAGTTTAAGAGTGACTAGAAACAAACAAAGGTATTCTAGAAAGGGGGCTCTATTATCAACCTCACCATAACTAACATGGAAATGCCTCTGTTTTCAATCAAAGGGTTAAATGCAAGAAACAGGAATGCAGTTTCATTGATTTGTTTATTATAGCATCCTAGTTATGTTTTCTTCCTGTAACATGTTCTTTGAATATGAATGAGAGTATGAATGATGCTACAATTAAGTAGATTTTTCAAAGTACAACACTTTGAATTACTCATTCATCCATATTTTCTCATAGTGAAACTTAAACACACAGGAAGACTGACCAGGTATAGCTGGATGAATGTATCCAAAACAGCGTCGACCTATTCCAAGTCTCCTCTTTAAATCTATAAGATTACTGATGGGATGCACAGCCTGTGAATATTAATATCTTTATAAACTCATAATGGTAAAGTATATAATATGATTAAATATATTGGAAGTTGTTAAAAGATGCAATGAAAACTTACCTCATAAGCTACAATCTTCTCTAGCAATGAAGCAGGATCATCCCATGTAATTTGGTGAAGCTCAAGGTTGGCTGGACTTAGCCATGTAATAAGCTTTTCTTTCAAATACGAATCTAAAGCTCGTATTGATGCAATATTTTCATCCCTAATTGTTTAACAAACCAACTCAGTTTCTTTTTCTCTCGTTAACTATTCTATGGATATATGCTCTTTACACTTTAAATAGATACTTGAGAATATACTTGGGGAAATGGAAGGAAAACATAAAATTAAGGAAAACATACTTTCATTTATTTGTGTATTATAGCGTTTTACTTTCAAACTTTTTCCTATAAAGACATTGTACTTTCAATTTGTTTTCTTATTGTACTTTGAAAAACTACACATGTAAAACATTCTACTTTCAATTTGTTTTCTTATTGTACTGTGAAATATCTACCCAATTATAGCAATGAATATTGCTTTGTGTATGGATGACATAGCTATAATTGGGTTAATTTTTCAAAATTCAATGCTACGATAAACCCAAACAAGTAAAATAATCACAGTTTTAAAAATTTTAACATGTCAAAATAATCACTAGTTGTACATGTGTAACACTACCATGATAGGCACATATTTTAATTATGTTTACATTCAATACTCTGTTTTTACAATCACAGGTGGATATTGATGCATCTTTTGATGATATTATATATAGACAATACAAAAGTTTTAGAAAACTGTTATTTTCCAGATATGGGTGTTAACAAGTGCACAAGTTTTTATAAGTTTATAGTCAAACAACAGTAGTTTTTGGGCATCATAACCTTACGCGATAATAGACAGTATATCAGCTCGAACAGTGGACAAAAACTTCAAACCACCAGGATGTGTGTTAAGCCTTTCAAACAGAACTGAGTACATTGGGTTAAGAGCATGTCTTAAATTTCTTTCAATTCTATAAAAACCAGAAAGATGTCCTTCCACTTCATGTCCATGTTCATCAATTCCATCACCTGATAGTTAATCATTGGTTTAAATGCAACACATAGCAACATACTTCCATTTATTTGCTTATTAAAGAATCTTACTTTCATTTATTCCTACTACACCATTGTACTTTCAAAATCCTATCCAATTATAGCAATGTGCAATGCCTTATTAAGAAAAAATTATAAGTGCAATGTTGTAATAGAAAGAAATGGAAGTATGATGCTGTAAGAAACAAATATATGGAAGTGGGTTTATATTTTCTGAATTTTAGCCCTATATTGTTTTAAAGTCAAACCACATAAAACCAGATATATTTTCAAAAAAAAAAAAATAGAACCAGAATCCATAGTTTTAAGAAAAGAAAGGTCACCTTTAGGGATCTCAAAACCAACATACTGCTTCATCAACTCCCGAACTTGATTCCTATTGAGGTCATACTCTTGAGCGAGAATGAGTAGTAACTTGTGACGGTTTTCTTGAGAAAGACTAAAATACCCCTATATCACCATATACATATTATCATAACTGAATTCAACGTAAAAGAAAAGGACTAAATGCGATAAATAAGAAATTTACTTTCATTTTTTTTTCCAAAATAGGACATTTTACTTTAAAAACTCTACCCAATTCTAATGGTCAAATTGCTTTGTATTTTGACAATATTACTACAAATGGTAGAACTTTCAAAGTAGAACACTGTAATAGGAAGAAATGAAAGTAGGATGCTATTAAACATCAATCAATGATAGCATGTTGCTATTTCTTACGTTTAATTATAAAAGAGTTAAGCAAAAAAAAAAAACAGCATTTATTTTCTACCTCTGAGAATTCACTTAGTGCAGTATCCAGTATCTCTTTTCTGTTCATTGATATGACTGAATGCATTGATTCACGTACTTGCCCAAAATCTCTGAAAGTATTTATATAAGATTAACTTTGCCTAATTAAAGATTAAAAAGCATTTCTATTTTGTTGGTGGAATTAATAAATCATAAAAAACCTTGGGGTCTTGCTGGAGGCATTTTGAGTAGCTACTTTGTTCACATCTAAGGGAGCAAGTTGCACATGGTTAACTTTCTTCTACCCAAAAAAAAAAAAAATAGATTCATATCAGAAATCAGGAGGACAAAGACATATTGCAGTCTATATATATAATAAAAGTGAACCTGAATGAAACTAAAAGGGCACTTTACTTTGAAAAATCTACCCAATTATAGTGTTGTAGAAACCAGGTAGGAAATATGTTTATCACTTCATAACTTCCAAGTCAATCTTGGATGAAATGAGTGATTAGATACAGTATACATGAAACAAAATATATGTATATACATAAACCTATAATAGTGAAGACACTCATTTACAAAATTGAAATACAAAATTACAAGTATAACAGTCCAAAATACTTGGCATTTTCAAAACATAAAATTCAAAACAAATGTGAATTTTTTCAATTCAGTACATACAATACAAACATAGCTATTGTATACTCCCAAAATTATAACTACTAATTAGAGTGCTTATATCAACTCAAGATAGTATTCAATCCCAAAAATAATAATTCATGCCATGAAATTGCAACAATTGAACTTCCAACTGTCCCATGGCAATTAAAATGGTTAGCTCAAAGTACCTAATTGCTTTTGATCCACCATAATCATTATTTTTGAACAATGAAGCTAAAAACCTCAAACATGCAATTTTCAGGTAACATGTAACACTGAAGGAGTAGCAGATGTGATCAACAAACTTAAAGTAAAGTTTGAAATTTCGTTCGAATATAATATGCATGTAGAATGAAGGTATTCATAAAAAAATTAACCATCCATTCCATAACTAGATACACACCTAGCAATAAAAATTCATATGCAACTTTAGAAAATTGAGAAATATTATACTACAATATACAAAAATTGAGGTTGATAACTTTAATTTCCATCGATAATCAAGTCCAGAGCAAATAATCGAAGAAATTGAGTCAAAAAGATGATAACTACTTACAGAAGCAGGAGAGAGAGGCCTCATTTTAGAACGCAATAAAATCGCTAGACCTTTCTTGTTCATAATCACTGAATATTTCGAAGACTATCGATTTTAATTTTTACGATTACAACGGAAATTCTCGACCAACGTCATGCTACCAACGAATCGAAATCATGCTGAAATTCGTTTCATCGGTCTGTCGAAGGAGTAAGAGTAAAGACTAAGGAGTAAGGACAACGGTTGCTTAGTGTTGAAGCCCAAAGAATTAGCCAGTTATCATCTTAGTGATGTGTATTGGGCCTTGGACCTGAATTCTTCGTATTATACATAGGTTGTTTATCGGGTCCAACCCGGATTAGATCCCTAACCAATCAACCATATCAAAATCTAATAATAATAATAATAATAATAATAATAATAATAATAAAGACAAAAATATGTTATCTAGTTAGGATTAATTTCATATAAGGCTGGGGAGGCGTGTTGCTCCTGTCGAGTTCCACCTAAGCCATAACAAGGAAAGGAAGAAAGGGGGAAGAAGCAAGGAAGAAGAAGAAAGGGTTTGGTCTCTCGAGTGGAGGAGACGAAAGAGGGGAGAAAGTAGGAAGAGAAAAAGAGCTTGGTCTGCTACTGCTAAGCTCATTTCCGAGCTTGGCATGTCGAGCTCAAGGCACAATGTTTGTTGAGTACAGATCAAATGTGTCGAGCTCTTATCAAGCCCATTCCGTCTAGCCTAAGAGTTAATGATATAACACTTAGCCCATATGTTATATCCATATTTCCTTTTCACTATTTTATGTAACTTCAATATCATATCATTATATTTTTTATCTTTCAAAATAAACCAAGTTTACTCTTTTTTTCATCTTTAAAGAGACATGGATAATTCCTAATGTTGTATATACAAGGAAAAGAGGTTGTACAACTCCTAATGTTATATGTAAAAGGAAAAGAAGCATTAGATGATGGTAGGGAAGTGGCCAGCGACGCCTTCACTGTTGCAGGGACACATGCCAACTACACCACCCTAGGCGACGATATGTTCCTTATGACACTATAACTTCACCTCAACACCTCGTTTCTTGGTTAATAGCTACATACAAAATATAAGGGTGTTCAAAACCGAATATCCGAAAATTCTGAAGTCCAGAATTTTCTAGAGTTGATTTTAATATCCGAAAATTCCGAAATCTTAACTTTTGGTAACTATCAAATATTAATCAAATCAAACAATTCGTGTTAACCATCTAGTAATTTAGTATGAAGAAAAAATCATGATGAAGCATTAATCATTTACTGTACATGATACAAACTATTAACCATTTACAATTCGTGATAAAACTCATATCAATGAGATTAAAATCCTTTTAAGTATCAATTCGTTAAGCATTCACGTTAAAAATCATTTATAATAATCAAAATCCACTTTTTAGTAAACTTAAACAATTTAGAAATTAAAACACTAAACATAAGAAAACAATAGCAAAAGACAGGCAATCAACACCTGAATCACGTCGTGAGATCAGTCTGAAGCAAAAAGTCTATCTTTTGAGTCCTTAATCCATTAAGCCTTGCACTCCAACTTTCCAAAAGGCCTTATAATTTCTTAATACACTATAAAGTCGATGCTTTTAAGACATATATGTCTAATACGTGTCTAGATCTCATTTAGGTTAAAAGTTGAAGAAAAATGCATCCGATTTTCATGCAAGATTCCAAAACTCAATCATTCTCTAGATCTGAACTCCAAGACACTCCTGAGGCCCTCATAACCCATAAAGTTGCCAACTTTATGGTTTCCATTCATTCAACATGCTTAAACAAGGAGAAAAGTGGTACAATTGTAACAACCCAAATTTCAAGGCCAAAATTTTCATTTTTAATTAAGAGATTCATAACATATTTTACCAAACATTGCCAATGTCATATCAATTTATAAAAACCATAACAACGTGTCAGAAAACCATATCATCAAAAGTAATGAAAATCAGAGTACAATCCCATAAAATTCCATGCGGAAACCATATGTGTGTGTGATGCGCTGCTACACCGTTGACTCTTTCCCTTTAAACGAAGAGGTACCTGAAACCAAAAATGAAACTGTAAGCACAAAGCTTAGTGAGTTCCCCCATCATAGCACATACCATACAATCGCATAACATGCATACTGTCGGGCAATTCTAGGGTGCCCGACCTACCCATGTCAAGCCATTCTAGGGTGCTGACCTACCCATGTCAACCCATTCTAGGGTGCTGACCTACCCATGTCAAGCCATTCTGGGGTGATGACCTACCCATATTGGGCCGTTCTGGGGTGCCGACTACCCTACGATCTATCTCAACCGACAACGGGGACTATTCAACCCCTACCTCTATCATACAAAACAAATATAATCATACGGTCAGGCATATCTGGGATACTGACCTACCCTTCAGTCCTAACGACCGATTCAAGGAAAAACTACTCCCTGCTACTACCACTAACTCATATAGCACATCAAATAAGCATGTCTCATAAGTATATCACATAAGCATATATCATAAGCATATCACATAAGCATACCAAGATAATTATCACAAAGACAATTATCTATCAATTACTCTTGTTGGTGGGTCGGCATTGTGGCCTTAGACCCACCCCTACTGGAAGGTAACTCACCTCGATGCCGTGTAGTGTCTGTACTGTCCTCGGTGTGAAATTCAGCTCTCCTTGACTCCTCAATCCTTACATGCCAACCCTTCTAAGTTATCAATTTGTACCCACAACCCCTACAAGGGTCAACTTGAATCCAAGTCAAAGTCAAAGTCAAACCCTGGCCAAGTCAACTCTTTGGTTAACCAGACTCACCGAGTTGGTCCGCCAACTCGCCGAGTACCTTCGTCCGCATAATACTACAAACTCGTCCCCACTCGTCGAGTCTAGCAAGAGCTCAACGAGTTCACCTTCAACAGCACTTCAGTCAATCTTCAACCGACTCGGCGAGTTCTTCCTTGAACTCGTCGAGTTCATCTTCAGCATATAAATGCATCCAGTCTATGACTCACCGAGTTGTATGAACAACTCGTCGAGTTCATCTTCAAAGATTAGAAGATTGCCTTGGACTCGCCGAGTTTTCTCGAACACTCATCGAGTCCCATGATTCCTAGGTCCCTTATGAGCCTAAACAACCGAGGGACCTTCCACACTATCATATGATCCATCGAAAGAAAGGATTTGGTGGTTATTATGATGGGTTTAATACAAACAATCCTATGTGTGCATGCAACCCTAGAGTTGGATCTATGTTTCACTATTAGTTATATAACTTTATGAACACAAAGAAACCTAGCATGCTAGTACTATTTTCGAAATCCACAAAGAAGAATAGAATACATAAATTTTGTTGTTATATAGTAATAACAACTAGTTCCTTGAATCTCCTTAGCTTTGAAAGCAAGTACCATAAGTGTAGTACCTCTAATGGCTCACAAACACACTAGGTGAAAGGATGAATATTGGAGAGAGGAGAGAAGGGTATCTTGCCCTAGAATTCATCACTTTTAGGGTTTCCCAAAGCTTGGACGAAATCTTAGTGACTTAGGGTGCTATTTATACTTAAGGCTAACTAGGGTTTCAAGGTGTAAACCCTAATCCCTTAGCTTTGGGCCTAAGCAAGTCCATGGACTCCTTTCCTTAAGCCCTTGGACGAAAACTCCTAGATCCTTATAGGATTTTCGTTCAAGCCTTAATAAAGGCGATCCAATGGCCCAAAGCCTCAACTATTGAATAATTACAAAATAGCCCCTACACTTTCAATCAGTTCCTTTAATCCCAAAATTAATTCTAAATTAATTTCTGATTAAATACTAATTAATAATATGATTCAAATTAATATATTATTCATATAATATATTAAAAAATCATATTTATACCCTAATTTATTATTCTTAACAATAAACCAGCCTCTCTCCTCAACAATCATCCTGTCTAGTCACCAGTGTGAAGGCAACCTAAAAGGACCATTCACAATCGGGTCAAGTATATACTAAAATAGTTATGCACTTACACACTAATCCAACAGTCTCCCACCTGGATAAGTCTAATAACTATTATGCGTATGACTTCAGAACCTGATCAGCAATCGTAGCTTTCAAAAGCTGTTGTCAGCTCTGATCGTATCATAAGCGTGACTTTTAGATAAGGGATCATATATTCCTCCATTCTAGATATCATATAGACATGATACATAGATTGAAATCATTCTCTCAGTCTATGTGTTGTTTCCCGATTTCCGATTTATGACGCTGACAACAGACTACAATTGAACACATCAAATTAGTCCCGGCTTGGCCAAGCGCTTAGGGTGTCATCACTAAATCATCGAGGGGCCCACATATATCACTTTTATCCCACTTTGGAAAAACAACGGATAAACTTCGACTCAATGCTTGCTTGTACTCACTCATCGAATCACACACAACAATAAGTTTTATAACACCAAGTTACTGGTGCGTTTACTTATCATCAATGTGCCACTGACCAGCAAATAACAACTCACACGTCTCGGTTTCAAGAATATACAATATTATCGACTCACAATCACTCGTGATAAAATCCATGAAGTGATTCTTATGAGCGTGAGTTTAATCCAATGCTCAAAATCATATTCATAAGCACTCATGAACGTTGCAACAAACTTTTGCTATGTCTAATACACTTTAGACAATCTATAAACCAATTCATGACAGTCTTCATTCATACCTACATCCAACATATGAACGAATGTGTACCATTCGAATAATTTGATTATTCTGAAATAATTAATTGTTCAGGAAGTCAAAACATGCAAAGTGAAACACAAGAATAATACTAATCCTATATAGTCCCAAACCTTGAGTATAAATAAAACACCTTTTATTCATCACCATATTGATTACTCATTATTTGTTGTTTTTGTTAATTAACTTATTACTTGAATTATTACTACAATTGTCCCATGCTCTTAGCATGCACACAATGTTTACTTATGGTCCTTACATAGTGAAATAGATCAAATGAACACATTTCCAATCATACTCATTTCACAACTCCCAATCCTTATCATAAGTATAAGAATATCAAATTCTTTCCACTTATAGAATATGTTATATTCTAACGTTTCATTCAACGATCATTTCGTAATGTCACTGCACTAAAGTCACAATGACTATTGCCAATGAAATTACAAAGTCCTCTCTTGGAGATTGTTACAAGACAATTCCATAGACGTGATGTCTCTCACTCAAAGTACATTCCTTTGAACATC